TAATTTCAGCAACATGATTCAGTTTCATTGGGTACATCCTTTTGACCTTTCATAGAGACACTTGTTCTCTTTTTTTTTTTTGAGAGGTTTTTGCTATAGGGCACGTGCGCTCGCCAGACAGACAGAGAGAGACATAGAGACAGAAAGCGAGAAATCACCCCCCAGGGGGGATGGTCATGCCGCAATCCCTTCTCCTCCATTCTCCTCTCAGGATCTTGGGCACGCACACACATGTGCCTGGCCTGAGTTCTAAGCCACCGGGTCCCGGACACGAACTGCGGTCGGCTATGTGGGAGTCCAGCGACATAGCCATTATGCTAACTGCTGGTTCCCCCAAGAGACACTTGTTTTTAAAATCATGATTTAAGTTTCAGAATTGTAGAAGAATGAGCAAGTTTAGAAGATGACATATCTTAGGAATTATTACTGATAACAATTGTGATTTTTATCATCATTTATAATTGTATTACAATTTGTTGAGTACCGGAGAGAAATACATAAAGGCAAATAATCAATATTCATATATTAAAGACCTTATAATCTTCAGTGTTTGCTTTCTTGTTTATTTTTGTTTGTGTTCTACAAAAAGGAAATTAAAGCATATCTTAATTTTTATTGCCTTTAACAAGTAAATTGACAAAAAAAACAAAAATAGGAAGGGACATTGAGTTTTATATCACTACAGATTCGTAGTTCTAAATATAATCACTTTTAAAAAGACAACTTTTGAATTTTTTTTTTCAGAGCGTTTTGCTATAAGGTGTGTGTGCTGGCTAGAAAGACAGAGAGAGACAGAGAAACAGAAAGTGAGAAATCACCTCCCAAAGGGGGTTGGCCACACCACAATCCCTTCTCCTCCATTCTCTTCTTGGGATCTTGGGCACGCACACACACATGCCCGGCGTGAGTTTAAGCCACTGGGTCTGGGACTTGAGCCATGGCCAACTACATGAGAGTCCAGTGACACAGCCATTATGCCAACTGCTGGTCCCTAAAAAGACAACTTTTGGGACCAGCAGGTTGTGTGGTGGTTAGGGCACTGGATACTCCCACATGGCCGACCACTATTCAAGTCCTAGACCTGGGGGTTTGCTTTCTCACTTTCCCTCTCTCTCTTTCTCTCTCTCTGGTCAAATTAAAATAAATGAATAAATAAATAAAATTAAATAAAATTTTAAATTTAAAAAAGGTATTTTTTTAAGAGAAATTTTTGCCATAGGGTGCATGCGCTTGCCAGAGGGACAGAGACACTGAAAGCAAGAACTCATCTCCCAGGGAGTATAGCCATGACTCAATCCCTTCTCCTCCAATCTCTTTTTAGGATTATGAGCACACATGCACATGTGCCTGGTATGAGTTTTAAGCCACCGGGTCCAGGACTCGAACTGCGGTGGACCACATGCAAGTCCATCGATATAACCATTACACCATCTGCTGATGCCCTCTCCCCCCAAAAAATACAACTTTAAAAAAAAATGTCTCATTTATTGCTGACTTCTGAAAAGATTAAATTTATCATTATAACCTAAAGCTTTTAAAATATCTTCTTGAGAACTTTTAAGTAACTACCTACTAGTTCAAGGTATATATGTTATTTTTAATGATAAAAAATTACATGCTTTTTTTGTTTTAATTCACTGGCAGACATGTTTGTTAACTAGAGTGAGATAGAGAGAGTAGTGGGGAAAGTAAGCAAGTACCTCTCACACCCCCATAGGGGATGGTCATGCCACAATTCCTTCTCCATTTCTCCTTCCTTTTGGGATTTCGGGCATGTTCATACAAGTGTATGTTTTAAACCATGAACCCAGTACTCAAACCACATGGTTGGACATGTGGGTCCAGCTGCCTTAACCACCATGCCAGTGGCTGGCTTCAAATTATATACTTTTTAATTAATAATTAAATATTATATGTTTAAGTTGGTTATGAGGGAAAAATGATAATGATTAGTTTTAAAGACTTTATTTTTTATTTTTAGTTTTTTTAGTGGTTTTCGCTATAGGGCACATGCACTTGCCAGAAAGACAGAGAGAGACAGAGAGGCAGAAAGCGAGAAATCACCCCCCAAGGGGGAATGGCCATGCCGCAATCCCTTCTCTTCCATTCTCCTCTTGGAATCTTGGATACGCACGCACATGCGCCTGACATGAGTTTAAGCCACCTGGTCTGGGACTCAAACCATGGTCGACTACATGGGAGTCCAGCAACATAGCCATTACACTAACTGCTGGTCCCGGAAGACAATATTTTTAAAGATTTGTAAATATTCATACTTAATTACTCTGCTGAAACTTAAAAATAAGTTACAATTGCCTTTCTTCAAATTTTACTTTCTAACAAGACCTAAAATTCAAAAATTATAAATATATGAAGTAGAACTCAGTTTTTAGAGTACAGTTTTATAAAACTTTTGAAAGCTCTTCTACTTCTAACTATTATGATACTGTGACACACATGGCTTTTTTCTTCTACTTTCCATTTTTAATGCTGATACTGTTATTTCATATTCAGATTATTTTAGATGAATGTTCAAACAACCTTTGCAGCTTAGATAATGAAAATGTTATTTCCTATATTAAACCAGCATGGGTTTTGGAGTGAGTTATATGTTTGCTGAGAGTCGAATGGCTATTTTATTATGGTAGTTACGCACACACACACACATGATCTCTGACATTCCTATCTATAAAGAATTCGTGTAAAATTCTGAAACTGCTACTGATTAAGTTGTAAGCTTTAAAAATTGTAGTGCGTATTGTATGAAAGTCTATGATCTCAGACTAATGTCTTTTTTTTTAGCTGCCTCTGCACTACTGCTTTTTCCTTTGTATATCTTTTTTTTTACTCTGACTCTTTTTCTCTTTCACTGTATTTTTCTCCTGCTTTTCCTTCTGTTTTTATTTTTCTTCTCTTTTTCTTCATTTCTAACTGCCTTCTTGTCTCCTCTTGTTTTTCTGTCTTCATCAAAAAAATACTTGGCAGCAATATCATTGCCCAATGTCCACCAGACACTCACTCTCTCTCTCTCTCTCTCTCTCTCTCTCCCTCTCTGAGAGCTATTTAATTCACTAGGAAAATGTATTTTATTTCTTATTTTAAGTCTCTTATTTTATCAGAATTGCTTAGAATTTTAATAACATGCAAGCATTTTTACATACTGTGCCTATTAGGATACCAGAAGAAAAGTTTTTCTAGTCTGTCTGCCTGTGTGTATATGAATAGGATCGACATCCTAGAAGACTCCGCCTAATTAAAACCAGTAAAATTTTAAGACTATAATAGTGCTTCTATTTTCTTACCAGTGTGTCCAATTTCATATTACCTTTCTTTCTCCTCTTAATACATAGGATTTGTTTTCCTGGAGTATTCCATAACATTTATGTTGAGCTTTTAACAGACAGTGATTACGATTTGGATACACGTTTTTGGCAATTCAAAGAATGAACTAGATAATATTAAGATATAGAGTTTCCAAGTAATTGTAGTTTTAAAAAATTCACAAAATTCTTTAACAAACATTTTTGCTTTTGGGATTTGTCATCACTTATAATTTTACTAGCAAATAATAGTATCCTTAAAGATTGTTATCATGTCATAATAAAAACAGAAATTAAGATGTTTTTCTGAATCTAGAAATGAATACAACATGTAAATGGAAACTGTCTTGTACCAACTACTAGTTAAAAATCATTAGTAGTAAGAAATGAATCCACTTTATTCAGTTTTATGTTTGTATTCATGCAATTTGATAAAGGTGGTTTGGCCGGAAAAAAAAAAAAATCACACAAATCTGTGAAAGTTTTTTCTTCTCCCAAACTTAACAGTGTAACTTACATAACAATTTAAGTTATGAGTCTTAACATGTCTTTTTTTTTTTTTCAGTACTAGAACACAAAAGTCAAATACTTTAAATTATTATACGGGAAGAAAAAGAGTACTCATTTTAAATTAGCCTTATTTATAAAGAAAGCACATATTGCACTACATTAAGCCTTACCTTGGGCCCTCTGCTTCATGAATTGCATTCTCCCTGTGTCACTGCTACTTGTATGCTGGATGTTCTTGTACGAACCCATAGCGGCTTCAGAGCATAATGGCGTGATATGAAGTGATGCAGAAAACAGGAGAAGCTTTGTCACGGAGTCAGCTGCAAGTAGAAGTAATGTGTATGAATGTACAGTATAGGAAGATCTATGAAAGATCCAGTCTCTTTCTCCTAAAAGACTCTGTTCCATGATACAAGGAGAATTCAGTTCTTCTTGGCAGACCTCCAAGTCAGTTTGGAAGCAGTAAAAACGACCACAAAAACAAGCCTGGTTCCTCAATGTCTTTACTCTCGATGTTTTAAGTAACATTTCCCCCCTTATTTTTACTTTACTTTGTTTTTAATGACCGGGTAGTAATAGCCATTTCCATTTGATTATTTGAATATGATTTCTATAGTTGGGATGTTGATAAGAATGAATTGTAGAGAAGAGTTCAGCCATATGTGACATGCTTGTCTCCATTACTGGTAAAATTGGAAGGAAAGGCCTTGTATCTCTTAATTGAGGAGTGCAAGACATTAAATGATATTGATATCAAGAAGGGCACAGAATCCCAACAGATGATGTAATTATGTTTAAAAATGAGTATTATTAAATAATTCACACTTTTAATATGGAGAAATTAGGTCATTTTCCCACTCTTCCCACAAATATTCAATCTTAATATCTAAATAATGAAACAACACAGTGTTATCCATCCTGGTACTAACGGAGAATGCCAGCTATGACAGGCTCATTGTTTACTTTAACAGGTAATTTGTGGACCGGAATCATTTAATTGTTCTGAGTACATAATTACATGTCAGCAATTTCCAATTTAATTAAAATGTACAAATCTGAAGATTAAGGAATTTTTGAATTATTAATCATTTTTCCACTAGGAAATCTTGTTGCTCTGCAGGAGATTTGTCCAGTGTACAACTATACGTATTTTTTCCTTCTCTTTCACAGACAGACAATTTTCCCGCAGAGCCCAATTACATGGGCAGCAGGCAGCAGTTTGTTCAAAGGTAAGGCCTATTAAATAACTTTCTCAGCTTCCCCATTTGCATTCGTGTCAAAATTGCTTTGCAAGAGACTACACTTCAGATTCAAACTAGTAGAGACAACACTTTCTCTTCTTTTTCTTTATATGTATTTCAGTAGCTCCACGTTTAAGGACCCAGAAAGAGCCAGCCTGAGAGACAGTGGGCACGGGGACAGTGATCAGGCTGACAGTGACCAAGACACTAACAAAGGCTCCTGCTGTGACATGTCTGTTAGGGAGGCACTCAAGATGAAAACTACTTCAACTAAAAGCCAACCACTTGAACAAGGTGAGTGAAGTCTTCCAATGATTACAAAGTATAAAGCTTAAGCAATCATTATAAACCTATTAGGATGAGAATTGCAGCTTATCACGGTGGAATGAACCATTGATAATGAATCAAAGAAGCAGCAAATCCTGAGATTGTCCCAACTCAGAAAAAGCAACTATTCAATATCGCAATCACAACCGAAAAAGGAAGGCCATGGGTGTCAGTCTTTAATCTTTATAAAATGAGAACTTGACCAAAGTCACTTGATTGTTCTTATTTTGTGGAAATTTTCTAGCCTTTCCTATTTGGTGTTTTCTAACCATAATATGGTATATATTCTCTAAGTGTGAACATTATAAATCATTAATTTTAAATACTAAAATGAGTAAATTCAGTACTTTTTAGGTGATTGGATTTTCATAACTTTTAGTAGTGTTTATTTAATTATTTTGGATTTTAGCTTCAAAATTATTTTTCAAGAGCATAAAATAATAGCTTAGCCAGAGTTTCGACTCTGTTTACAATTTACATCTATGTCTTCATGGGTAGCAAATAAACATGAACTTGTTCACCTTAGTAGAGATAATAAAGAGATATAGTTTTAAAAATACATATGTATTTTTAAAGGTCTACATTTTATTTGTTTGATATACCTAGCCTCTTATTAATTTTGATCTTTCTATTATTTCAAACATAATTTACTAATGATTAATCCAAAGAGAATTAAACTACTGTTACGTGTAAGACCTGGAGATGGTTAATAATGTTTTTTTTTTCATGTTCTATGGTAAAAAATAAAAAAGAATTGTTATATAAACCAGACTTCAGAACTACATATGCATTGATTGAGATAGTTGATATGTTTGTTTTCAAAATATTGATCATTTTAAATGCATGTAATATTTATTACTCGGGTTTTTTATAGGGAAGCATATTTAAACTATGTGAACATAGTCTCTAAGTGATTTGTTAATTGATGGCTCAGAGAAAGTAAATATTTTCCTGTAGAGCATTCTGCCCTATGATACATACATCAACAGATATGGTATTACTAATTTTTCTAATCATGTTGAAATCTCAGAATGAATATTCATATACATTAATATATATTAACATTTCTGAACTGAATATAATTATGCTGGATTTATGTCAAGGTTGAGCTTACCAAAAGTTTTATTTTCTACATAATAAATGTTACACTGATAATTTTGTTTTTCTAACTTTTACCATGACAATTTTCTGTGTAACATGCAATGTTTTAAAACTTATTTTTAGCAGAATCAATATGAATGCTCATCCAATGTTCAGAGTTCCTTCAAACTTAGATGTTTTTATGAAATTACTTCAATGGTCTGATGGTTTGCAGTTCTGCGCTATTATAATATTTATAAGTCTTTGAGACACATTTTAAATAATAGGTGATAGATCCTGTCATGTGACTATACAGCATGAGATAAACCCATTTATGTGTATGATAAATAAAGTGATTGATAGATAATTCATTAGCTACAATTTGTGAAGCTGCATGGAGTAAGTAAAGTTTGCATTTATTGTCTCACCTTTGAGAGGAATTCTGTTAATAATAATAATAATAACCTAAAAACCCTACTGTTCTCATGAATTATTTAATTTCTTTTCATCTCCATCTGCTACCTAAGTACTGTATTTGATAAGAGAGTATTTGATATATTTTCCTCTATAGAGAAAAGAAGTGATCTCATTTATTATGTCTTAAAATATAATTTGTATTTAATGGCTGTTTTCTCAATGTTGATATCAAAAAGTAATGTCTTCAGAAGGTGGTTGTTTTTCTTCAAAGAAGGCCCAAGTTAGAATATATTTTGATTAACATTGCACAGGAAATAACCGCTACTCTAAGAGCGAGAATGCTAATAGATACGTCTCCTATAAAGCATGAGTTTCCACACATCTCTATTAATAAGAATAAGAAATTTATTATGAATCTAGGAGCTACTCTTAGGTACTAAATGAATTATATAAGAGAGAACTGACTTCCACTTTAAACCATGCTATATATATGTATGTATATATTTATTTATTTTCATATTTATTGTTAGATGGCCTGTGCACTCTGGAAGAGAAGGAGAGAGAGAGAGAAGGTACCTCCATGGGAGTTGGTCACATACAGTCCCTTCTCCTCCGTTTCTCCATTTGTGATGTTGGGCATACTTGCACCTGCACCTGGAGTCTTTTTCAAGTCGGTTGGTCCAGGATTTGAAGTACGCAGTCAGCTCTGTGGGATCTAGCTGCTTCAATCACCATACCATGGTTTGGGCCCTAAAACATGATTTTATTTGTTTAAGGTTTCTGTCACAGAGTGAATGTACTCCCTGGAGAGACAGACAAGAGACAGTGAGAGGGGAAGTGAGAAATCAACCCCTAGAAAAAATGACCATGCTCAATTTCTTTTCCATTCTCCTCCTGGGATTTTTTACATGTATGCACATGTGCCTGGTGTGGTTTTCAGGCCACCTGGACCAGACAGAACTGTAGTTGGCCATGTGCCAGTCCAGCGCTTGAACCACCACGCCACATGCTGGACCTTAAATCATGAGCTTTAAATTTAGCTAAAATATTGATTGATTAACCCATTGATTTGGTTTATTAATTAGATTTATTAATTCATTAATTAATATCACTTTAAGCACTTTGAATATGTAGGAAAAGCTAGATCTTCGGGAAAGTAAAAAATAAATTTCCTTGAAGCCTGTCTTCAAGTAACCATATCTAACTAATAGACATGAAGATCTCTCTGTCAGGATCTCCATCATGCTTCATTTATCTCTATCATCTATCTTTTTTTTTTAAAAAAAATTTATTTATTTATTTACTTTAATTTGACCCAAGAGGGACAGGAGCAAGAGAGAGAGAGAATGAAAGTAAGAAAACAAGCCACCAAGTCCGGGACTCAAACCACAGTTAACCATGTGAGAGTCCAGTGCCCTTATCCACCGTACCATCTGCCGACACCTTTATCATCTATCTTTTATCTACCTCTCTCTGTACCTCTCATCTATCTATCTCTTTATATCTTTCTATCACATTAATCTATCTTTCATCTATGTATGTATCTATGTATGTATCTGTCTATCCAGATTCATAGGACGAAAAATACAGAGTTCTTACTATTTACTATGAACAGTGCAAAACTTTACCGCAATGTTAGCTAATTCAATTTCCGAACTTGAAACAGTTTTCATTTTTATTTTACATGTAAGAAAATTAAACCTACTGGAAATGTATTAATCTGCTATACAGATAGCAGATTAAAATTTAATCTGAGGTCTATATGCAGCCAAAGCTTGTGTCTTTTTTACACAAATTTGCCTCTGAATGGGATAAATTGTTCAAATAACCATTTTGATTCATCGCTGTGACAAGATATGAAATAAACATCGAAGAATGCATTAAAGCCTGAGTTCATGTGTGCAGATCCAGGAACAGAAGATCAGAATAGATTAAGGCATTGACTGAGTAACTACTCAAAACTTTGTTCAGTACTTAGAACATATTATCCTATTAAGTGTTCATATCATTTATCGATAGGTAAGTAATGTTAATCTCACATTTAATAGACATTTAGTAACTTTTAAAATGTTTTCTGTTATAAGTGGTGAAGGCAGAATGAGACATTAAAAACAGGTCTTCGGATCCTGCTCTTTTGACCAGAACTTTTGACTAGTCACATAATGAATGCTTTACTCAGAAATTTCAAAATGTTAAAAAAGCAAGAAGCTATTGTTTTGGTCAGGGTACTCTGTTAATTATTTGAAAAATATCATGAGAGGAAACGCTACAGGTAATATTAATACAGTACACATAAAAGAACAACTTTATTTACAGATGGCAGATGATGAACAATCATATTCAAATAACTGTCACATATACATATTGATATTAAACCTTAATTTTAGTACCTCAAAATCCCCTAAAAAACAAAAGTGAATTTTCTTAGAGAGAAACAAAGAGCTAAATAACAGAAACTTGTTTTTCAGCCTTTTTCGTAGTGCCATACACAGATTTTAATGAAAAATCAGTAGTAAATTTTATTTCATATATTTATATCAATTTAGTTGGATTCTTTTTCTATTTAAGTAATATTATTTTAGAAAAAGGTTTTATTTCTAAATTTAAATGTTACTTTAATTTAGCAATAAAAATCAATGTCAAAAATAATCTTCACATATTCAGTGGCTTTTTCTTTGACTAATAATGATTTTCCTTGTAAATTAATTAGGTCTTTTTAGATCTTATTTCATTAGTTAAACTGTTACTTTTTTGTTCCACTTCTTTATAGTTAAATCTTTTCCATTTATCTTATCCCAGATATTTGTGCATTTTTTGCTATCATCAGTTTAATCATTCCAGGTACCTATAACTACTATGTATTGCCCATTATTTTAGCAAAAAAATTATTTAAAAGGATTCAGCAGCTAATTGAAAGTGTGATATACTGTACTACAGCGGAAGATAGCTTAAAGGATTCTATGTTAATAAACTTGTCAGTAGAAAGAGGTTATTTCAGTTTCTCTTAGTGTGATAAAATAAGAAAATTCTCAAAAAATGCATTTAGTTTCTTTCTATTTGAATGCATTGTTGCGCCCTGCATCTCCATTAATTAGATTTTCTGCATACTCCCTTTCTTTCTTTTCAAATAGTACAGTGTCCATTAGGTAAGTGAGAGGGTGGATGATAAATAAAACAATCCAAATATTTTGAATCTTATAAGATATCATAATAGTCTAGTGCTTAATAGGAAGGGTAAATACATATTTCTACCTAAAAAGTTACTGCTTATCAAAAACATGACATGGAAATCTGACCAAAATATATTAGACCTTTTTTTCATATTTTGGAATAAGAAAAACTGATTTATATCAAGAACTTATAAAAATACATATGGTGTTACTTCTGTAAAGAAGAGTCACACACTAAATATTTGAAGCAATGCCTTACACAGGTTTAAAAAAATGTAGTAAATTTTATTTTATATGTTT